CTAAATTACAGTGTCACTTGCAATCGCCACTTGCACTCTCTCCGCTACCTGCGACGTCACTTGCAATCGACACAAATCCTGCGTGTTGCCAATGGAGACAAGAAGCTGTGGTGGTGATTAAACGATTAAAACTAAATTAGTACAATAACATACAGGACCCGCAAATCCGTGGCCACAGAACAGCAGAATATGAACGCATGCGCAAAGTCTCTCGTTAAGTGTTTTCCTTCTGTAGATAAACTTAAACACTTAACATGGCTTAATTAAAATGCTATTAAAATATCAAATTAAATATACAATTTATTAATATAATGAATATGTATATAGTATTTTCCTCCCATACCGCAAAATGTACATGACATAATGTGGCATAATGGACTAAAAAGGCCAAACTCAATATGCTCCACTACATTATTAATATACATAACTAATATTTAAGTTAAGCGTTTTTCCATATAGAATAAACTGTCTACAGCTCTTTTATATCATTGTCTTTGTCCATTAAGCTACATTACGTGTAGCGGAGAGTGCAAGTGGCGATTGCAAGTGACTTCGTAATGTAGTTTATTTTTTGTTGTCTTCACCACCTGGATACTGTTGTAAAATGTTGAGAGATTCAAACAAAAAGTAATCAATAAATAGAACAAAAAATAAAAAATAAAAGGCTGCAAGTGACGTCGCTAGCGGAAGTGCAAGTGTCTGAGAGTGCAAGTCTGAGAATGCAAGTCTGAGAGTGCAAGTGCAAGGCTGCAGCTAGACCCTCTTGGAATTTTCAGCAGCCATTACTTCAGTCTTTAGTTTCACATGATCCTTCAGAAATCATTCTAATATGCTGATTTGGTGCTCAAGAGACAATTTTTTATTATTTTCTATGTTGAAAACAGTGCTGCTTAATTTGGTTATGGAACATTTATTTAAAATTGAAAACAATATAAAAGCCTTTACTGATCAATTCATCGCATCATTACTGAATACAGGTATTATTTTCCATTAAAAAAATCACTGAGCCCTAACCTTTAAATGGAACAGTGTGTGTGTGTGTGTGTGTGTGTGTGTGTGTGTGTGTGTATATATATATATATATATATATATATATATACAGTATATATATATGGTTAAACTCTATCTGTTCTGTTGCCATATTGATTAGTGGTGCCAGCGGCAATATGCACACTAGCAACAGTCGCCAAGGCGACCGTAAATGTGACCGCTGATCTGTGTTAGCGTTACCATGGCTCTTTCAGCCACATAAACAGCAACAACTTCAAAGAAGCCCAGACGCAGGTCTATTCTGGTCATCAAACTCATTCAAAGCCTGCGATGGTGTCCTCCACCACAGCTCTGAGCACACATTAAAAGAATTGTGTTAACCAGAGGAGACGAGCAGCTCCAACCATCAGTATTTTGTACTGGGAGAGGTGTGTTTAAGAGAGAGGGAGAGGGAGAACAGGAACACAAACCGCAGAGGCCAGCATGTAAAATTCACAGCGACAAGCTGTGTCGCCAACAGATGAAATTGATCAGACAGTCTCAAGGGAGGGCTGAATAGAGATTTGGGACAGCAATCCAAGTGCATTGGTCATATCACACATCTGCCACCTTAACGGCACTGACAGGGAGCCAGCAAAGTGTGAGGACGAAAAAAGGAAAAAAGACAAACACAGTAACATGGTCTCTCTAAATAGCCGCTCTGAAGCAGACCCGAATGTGTCCTGTGGAGGTGACCCAGCGCTTCTGTGCCACCTATGGCAGATGGAGAACATGTTTTTGTCAGAACAGCTCACAGTGATATAAATAAATATTTGAGGTCATTTGAATAAAATATTTATGAATTAAATAAAATCTCAAAAGACGTATTATCTGAAAAATATTTCATTCACATAAATTTTAAATGTAAAAAAAAGTGAATTAAAATCTGATAAGACGTTTTATCTGAAAATGTATTTTATTCACATACATTTTTAAATGTACATTTCTGAATTAAAATCTATGAAATCTTTTTTAACAGATTTTGAATGTAAATATGTCTCAAATAAAATCTGAAAAGAAAAAAAATTATATAAATAAAAAATTTATTTTAAATAAAAATCTGAAAAGACATTTTATCTAAACACTTATTTAATTCACATATTTTATATGTAATTATTTCTGAATTAAATAAGATCTAAAAATACATTTTAACTGAGAATTTATTTTATTCACATAGATTACATACACCCATGATTCACATAGATTTTTAAAACCATTTAATTCTGTCAAGACATTTTATCAGATTTTTTACATTCACATAAATCCTAAAATCTAAATATTTCAAAATGAAATAAAATCAGAAAATATATTTTATCTAAATTTTGTTTAATTCACATATATGTTGAATGTAATCGTATGTATCTTAAAATGTTGTCATTTAAATATATATACACATATATATATATATATATATATATAAAATATATAATTTAATTATTATATATAATTATTTTTTCAGTGACATTCTTGCAGTCATTTCTAATAAATAAATCTCATAAATCTCGAGTTTGATTTCAACTGATTTCATGTTCGTATCAATAATTAAATCAACAACATTTTATACCTGAACACTTGTAACCATAGATAAAAAAGAAGAAGAAAGCAGCAGCCCGAACATTTGCATCATAACGCTGTGATAATGTAGCCAGAGAAAGTGTCTCAATCTTCCACCAAATTCACTGTCTTAAATAACATGATGTTTTTCCTTCTCCACCCAGATAAGTTATTCGCCTTTTTTCAGTTGTGGATAATGACGGCCTTAAAGCATAAAGCATTTATGTGGGGGAGCTTTCCTCTCGCCTATGCGCTGTAATTATGCCTTTGAAATAGACATGGGGTGTCACCAAAGCTGAAGATTTGAAAAGTTTTTTTCTCTCCTCGCTCTGCTCTTTCTCTTTTGATTACAGACTGCCTCTATCTAAAATAACAGGCTAGGAAAATAAGAGGCTGCCAAAGCCCATTTCTAGTCCTTTTTCTGATGGCATGGAAATTGCTATTAATGCCCCAAATGCTCTTTAGGCAACCTGTCTCCAGGACATGAAATGGCCTCCATTTTAGGTTTCCATTATACTTTCATTCCTTTAGCCAATGTGATAATTTGCAATAATTGATTCCTCCATCATTGGTCTTTTGAAAAGCATGTTCTGGAAATGACTCGTAATATGCAGCTTAATGCCGTTTCTTTTTACTGCCTCACTTTGTGACTCACTTCTTGCAAAAGCGTGTTTATAGTGAGGGAATTCGTCATAGTCGCTCTCGTTTAGATTTCACGACGGGGTTTGTAGACGGTAACCTACATCTTTGCATTCAGATATGCGTTGTATTTTTAAATATGCACTTTATAATTTTGTCTTTCGTTTTTTCCTCACGAAAGGCGAACGGAGGCTGGCAAGACGCCCCAACACCCTCCTCAGTGACCTCACCCACGGAAGGACCCGGGAGCGTCCATTCTGATACCTCCAACTGATCAGCACCATCCATCCATCCATCCATCTATCCATCCTCACAGCGCGTGGGATCTTCAGACTGCTCGCGCTAAAGATCCAGCAATCCACCCTCCTCAGATTTGGATTAACGTCCCACACGGTCACACACAATCATGCCATACTACCGTGGAACATTGGGATATTTTACAAGATTTTAGAAAACAATTATGAATTTAAAAATGAAAAAAAAAGATGTGTTTGTACAGTTTTCACAGTGTATTTTAGGTGGCACAGGGCGACTAACAAACCTGTGACTGTTTCAGTCTTATGAGGCAATTGTTAATGATGGAACAACCAGTCGTTGTGTTTCAATTTAAATGCTTCATTCTACCTCTCAGTAAAAATAAAAAAAATTACAAAAAAAAAATACATAAAAGAACAGTCCTTGTTTTCTAAAAACAAAAAATTGTATCACTTGATATAGTGCTTGAGAGGAAGCTCTCCTTATCGGTACGGTCAATTCTTATTGCTCTTTTGTTTGTTCATAGTGATATATTGACTACTTGTTTTTGTTTGTTTATTGTTTTTTCATTTAGCATTTTTCAAAAGACCTTCCAGTATCAATTCAGCTATATTCAAGTATTTCTTTTGATTATTTTTGCCCAATAAAACAGATTGTTCTTATACATCTTTGTGTAAAACGTGAAATAGGATGTGTGGAGGTCACTCATACCATTTCAAAGCTGATTATCATATTTTCCCCATAAAAGCCATCAAAAGATGTCCATTAGATAAAGGAACAGGCTTACGTTTATCGTAGAGAGCAGTCCAAACAACTCTGTTGTCGTAGATTTCATTTGGAGTCATTTCCTCACTCTGTTTGTTTTCGAGGACACTGTCGATGAAAATACAACTGATTCCGGAAATGGTGGAAGCATCAAGTCATTATGGTCTATAATGACATTTCCTCCCCGCTTTCACTTCAGATTGCTTTCAAATGCTCCCTTATTCCCTCTCTCCCTTAAGTGAAGGAATTTGACATAAAGAGCGATATTTTGGTTTATACAGACAGATGCCCTTTACTACTCCAAATCATTAAAAACAAGCACTAATGCTCTTTATTGTTTTGAATTAGTTGAATTAGTTTACCATTTTTATTTCTTATTATCTTATGTTCACTTGCAAAAACCTTGAGGGTTTCATCAAAAGGCCATGTCTTAACAAATGCTAACCTGACATCTTGTTTTCCCTGTAATTACAAGTACGAGAGCCAGCTGTAAGTGTACAGATTTAGAAACGAGCACTGTACTTTTAACATTACAGCCGAGTGTTACTGGTCACCAAAATCCTTTGTGTAAACGCTGTAAAAGAATATGAATAGCTGGTCAAACATAATGAGCTTTTTTCTCAATTTTCTGTAGCGTTTGTAAGGATGTCAGAAATTAAGATACGCAACATACAAGCGAGTCTTTTGGCCAATCTGCATTGCTGATGCCACTGTTTCCATTGTGAAATCATGACAGATGTAGCTCTTCTGCCTAATTGAAAAAATTATCTTGAAGAATCCAATAGTTAACTAATTTTTGTTGAAAATATATCCCTGTCTGCCGGGGCTCTGGGTAATGAAGTTTGTTTTGCAGTACATTGAATCAGATACCATTTAAATGGGGAAGTCATTAAGTTAATAAGATTTGGACATTTCGACGGTCACTCTTAGCTGTGTTTATGCAGGTAAAGCGCCATACACCCACTTTGCCCCGAACCCAGAAACCAAGTTCAGCTGCTTCTGAACAAGTTTCAAACACTGACTTGAGATGATCGATCATCTCTGCCTTGATTTATATGTATCGCTAATATGACCTCAGTGTCTGATATCATATTATCCCCTTTTAGTTTGTGCTCTCTAACAAGTGTTCTACCAAAAACACCTTTTTGAACAATTGCCAAAAAGGAAGACGCTCCGATTTATTTCAGAAATGGATTATGGGGGGAAATGTTTGGTAATGTTCATCGCTATACACTAGCAAAACCAAAAATGTAAAAACTGAAAGTTGCTTATGTATGTATAAGAAACAGAAATATGTGACAGATATTTCATTGCCTTTGCCTTCAATGATGGCTTGGAAGATTCTTTTTCTTCCTTTAGTATGTTTCTTGTTTTTTTTTGCTTTTGTTTAGCTCTCATTATCAAGACATCCTGAAACACCAGTTCATTTTTGTTTTGTTTTTGTATTAGTTTGAAGATAATCATGCTAATCCATATGAAAATACAAACATACGTCATCTGTTATTTGAATGGCATACGTTTATGACACAAAAGACACTCTAGTTTGCTGATGGTTGCCATTGTGAAAATGTAAATATATATATATGTATATATATATTGTGAAATAGACTTGACCGCACATGCTATAAATGCATTATTAGACTTCACGATTATGTACCATATGAAGCATTGAAGGCCAGACTATTGTGTTTGGATTTCCCCCACAATTCCCACAAACGTTGTCTCATAATTTACATGATTATCATCAATAAATGTTGTATTGCTCACTGAACAGTATTGATACACATCAGTATGTATTTTGTGAGATTCTCTGTTTTGTTATTTTTATAAAGGTTTTTACAGGGTTTAATGCTTTTCTTGTTCTCCAGTTCATGTTTAGGGACCATTTTAGTAAAACAATAAAGGACATGTGGTTATAGTGTATCACACCTTTAAAGGACACATTTGACATTAGTCAACTCAGTCCATGACTTAGATTTTGCACACATTTGGTCCAATATCACATAATTTCTTAGCCTGAGATTTTAAAGTCAGCCCTTAACAAATTATCCCCTTTTACTTTGTTGCATGTTTTGCTTACAATAAAATACTGCAGTGTTTTGAGTAAATGCTGATGTATTTTTACCACCCCACGATTTTACTTTGACTACAAATATACGCTACCATTCAAAAGTTTGCGGTCGGCGAGATTTTTTTATGCTTTTGAAAGAAGTCTCTTATGGTCACCAAGGCTACATTTAATAGCTCGAAATTAAAGTAGAACAGTAATATTGTGAAATATTAATACGACTTAAAATAACTGTTTTCTATATTTGTTTATACTTGGGTCTAGGAGATGGAGATGGGCCAGAGTGAGTGAGTTGCAAATGCAGTCAAATAAAGATGTTGATTGTTATTTTTTTAATAATAATTTATCTGCTTATGTATCGCCACAGCAAATGTTTTGGCAATAATAAATATGCATTAGAATTAATGATCATTTTAATAATCATAAAACAATCTAATTTAAAATTGTATTACAGTTTAGAAAAAAAACAAATGTATATTTATAAAACAAAAATGATATTTACCCACAACTTTACACCCCATGGAGCCACCTTGTGAAATAATAATATTACAATAAATAGGAAGACGCTATTTAAACAAGAATGGTTTGTGAAAAATTGGTTTGTGTGTTGTCGATTTGATAGATGAAGATGGTCAGTTGATTCAATATAATGCATTCATGGAGAAATTTGCGATAAAAATGTTCCTTTAGAGAATATAATAGCCTACTATGTGTAGAGCCATCCCTCTTGCACTAAAACAATTAATACAAAATATCTTAACATATTCTGATTTAAGACAGAACTATTTAGATCAGGGTCAGATGCACTATTCCCTAAATAATTGAAATGTGGAGACCGAATATACCACCATAACGAGTTTCTCATATTTGTCATATCATTATATTCTATGAGTTTAATGAATTTGCAGACAATGTAGTTATTTGCAGTGTTGGGGAAAGTTACTTTTAAAAGTAATGCATTACAATATTGCGTTACTCCCTAAAAAAAGTAACTAATTACGTTACTTAGTTACTTTTTATGGAAAGTAATGCGTTACATTACTTTTGCGTTACTTTCGCATTACTTTTTAAATATGAGAAGGGCTTGATTGTTTTTAACGTAATACGTTTTATTTATAGCAAAAGCCCTTTCACACCAAAAAGTGTAATGAATAAACTTCAGGCTGAAGGAAAAGTAAATTCACGTCTGTACAGTAGAACGCAGGAGAAGGTTCAACACTCTTCAGCAATAAAAAAAACAGTGAAGCACAATTGTAAGTTTATCTAAAGTCATTTTTGCTTATTAGTATAGTTGAACTGGATCATCAAAGGTCAGCAGCAAAGACATTGGTTAATAAAATGGGATTAGATACATTTGTGTTATTTAACATATTTAATTATTGCAGGTTTGCGTCATATTCCGAGTTTGCATTTCACTGTTTTAATTAATTTTGATTAATACTAAATCAGTTTTTTGTGAGTGGGATGAATTAATGCACATTCACATTTAGTCTAGAACTACAGTAACATCATGTTCACACAGTGCACACAACTCCTCTGCACTTCCGATTTCTCCCAATATGGGGACAGGAGACTTGTCAGTCAATAAATGGGAAAACAAAGTAACTGGATTTACTTTTTTGAAAAAGTAACAGATATTTTCTTGTAAATTAAAAAAGTAATATTTTACTTTACTAGTTACTTGAAAAAAGCAATCTGATTACGTAACTTGCATTACTTGTAATGCGTTACCCCCAACACTGGTTATTTGTCATATAACTATATTTTCACTGTCTTAGAGGAGAGTGCCATTGAATGTGTAGCTAATATGAAGTGGGTTTTCATGAAAAAGAAAAAAGAAAAGAAAATAATAATAATCTAACTAAAATCAGGAACGAAAACAAACTCTGGATGAAGAAAAAACTCCCAATAAATGTCCAAACAGCGATTCTATCACAGCATTTATTGTGTTATATCTTGTGCATTATTTACATTTAGCATTTGATATTGATTTGATAGGAAACATTATAATTGTTACTAATTATTGTACAGATCAAAACTGTGAGGGTCATGACCCCCCTGTCCCCCAGGTCAACTGTGCGCCTGTTACACACACACACACACACACAGAAAAAATTATACAAAAGCTGTCACAGGAGAGGTACCTTTTCAAAAGGTACACTTTTGTACGATATTGGCAACTTAAGGTACATTCAAAGGTACATAAAGGTAAATTTTGAAAAAGGTACAAAAGTACCTTTTGAAAAGGTACCACCCCAGTGACAGCTTTTGTATCTTTCTTTTTCCTGAGTGCAGAAACATAGAAAAATATGTTACATATACATATATGTCTATTTAAGTAAGTAAGTTTTATTTATAGCGCACATTTTAAATTCAGCATTACACTGACCAAAGTAATGAACAAAACCAATAATAAAATACATATATATATATATATATATATATGAATTTCAGTCTATTTACCTTGATGACCGATTACAGTGATTACACTACCATTCAATTTATATATATTTATTCAGCAAAGAACATATTAAATTTGCCAAAAGTGACAGTAAAGACATTTATAATGTTACAAAAGATTTATCTTCTAAACAAATGCTGTTCTTTTAAATGCTCTATTCATCAAAGAACCCTGACAAAATGCATCATGGTTTCCACAAAAATATTAAACAGTACAAAGCAGTAATAATGTTTTCAACATTTTTAATAATAACAAAATGGCTCTTGAGCACCGAATCAGCATTTTAAAATGGTTTCTGAATGATCATGTGACACAGAAGACTGGAATACTGCTGAACATTCAGCTTTACCATCACAGGAATAAATTACAGTACATTTTTAAAGAATATAGAAAAATATACATTTATTTTTCTTTGTGTGATCCAGGGCTGAATATCATAGTAAGGTCTGTGATATTAGTTACACAGACCTTCCTGAATGTCATCGTGTTCCTGCTCTGAGTTCTGTCATTCCCTCATGCCGAGAGTAAAAGTGGGCCAAGGTCAGATCTAGACTTCACAGGTCTGTCAGGGTCTAATGACTCAGAACAGCTTTAAGCTACCCAGCCTCAGGAGTACTGGCAGCTTCTTTTATATATACATATTCTGGCAGCCATTTCTCACTGCCTTCAATGAGGGAGGCTGACGGGTGTGAGGGGGGATGAGGGTTTTAACATGTCTCCCACCTCCACAGGCCCATACTGACCCAATCTCCCACCTCCAAACCGCAAACAACCCCACATGTCTTTCACCCTAAACATCCTGAATCCAGCTCATCCACATCTTCCACTTGTCAACGCATAAGAGAGAGATGTGAACGCTAACAAAAATGAAATGTGAAATTGTCCTCTGTAATGTCAGGTCTTATTTCACTTCCACAGGGGAGAATGTTGTTGTTGAAAAAATCCGTATAATCTCTAGATCTCCACAAAGAGGACATTTACACAGATGTTGATTTAAAAAAAATATTTTGACATTATAAATAACACTGTGAAAAAAAGAAAATAAAAAAAACGTTTTATGCCAATTATTTATCTTTTGCTATAGTGTGTCAGTAGGAAATATCAGTTTACATTTCCAAACATCCCTTTTTCTATTAAGTGTAATAATCCAGTGAGATATGCATAAGGTGTCTGACAACAGCCGATATGCTCCACACAAGATATCTGATCTCACCATAATCCAGTCCATCTGGAATGACATGAAGAATCAGAAAAAAACTGAGACAGACTCAATCTAGAAGAACTGTGGCAACATCTCCAAGACACCTGAAGAAACCTTCATACAAAGCTACCTGAAAAATTATTCAGGTAGTGTAGGCCTACCTAGGACAAATGCTGTTTTAATTGTGAAGGGTGGTCACATCAAATGTTGATTTGATTTGTTTAATAGAAGCTTCTTCAAGCGTCTTGGAGATGTTGCAAAAGGCAAAAGGAATGTTTGAAAATGTGTGTACAGTGGGTATAGAAAATAATCGCCCCCCCCCCCCCCCCCCCCAATAGCTATTAAAGCAGCGAACAATTTTTCTTTTGCTCTTTTTGATTAACATTACTTATATAAATGCACGGATCCGCTATACTGATGTACATTTGATATTTTCTTTACTGTTTACATTCACTTAAAACAACCGACTGTGCTCACAAGGATACTTGTCAAGACAGCCATTGGTATTCACCTGCTGTCTGAGAAGGCTATTTGTTGCTTTGCAGCCTGAAATGAAGACTGACACAGTTTTTTTTTGATCCAGCTGTATTTACTCAGTGCAACTT